TGGTTTCAAAGATTTGGATTACTTGACACTTTTTCGCCTGTGATACTTTTTTTGCGACTTTAAAAAAATTTTCAGCGGTAACACTGGATTACCTCCTCGTTTTTTAAGTCGGTTAAAAATAATGAAAAACTACGATTTTGGTGTAAAGACGAAGTCGCATTTCAAAATTAGCATGCAATTAACACGTTCGCTACGTTTAAGCAGAGCGTAATCACAGACCAGGTAGGATTTTATTTATTTTTGTCTAGTGCTGTGGGTTTTGGTTGTCTCAGAACCTCAAATTCATAATTAAAGTAATTTTTTTAATATAATGTGGAACGATTTTCCGTTGTGCCATTGTTTCGGGGGCAGTAAGCCTTTTTACTGACCCGTATTACTTGCAATAAAAACAAAATGCGACAACAACGATATGCGGGCGTTTATTACAAAATGTACATGCGAATATTAGCAACTATATGCTAGCGCTTGCTACGATGACCAATATGCGAGTAACAAAATTCTTAGATGTACAAATTAACCAGCCTACAAAATTTCCTCTAGCTCAACAAGTACAATGGCTTACGGTAAAGAGATCGGATGATTTACCCTGCAAAAATCGTTGGACCATGTAGTCTATTTGTGGTAAATTGGAGTACTTACAAAAGTGTTCCTCTGTCATGCTGTAGCGGACCAACTCGTGTCTCTGCGCCAGCTTATTCCCTGCAAAAATCGCGACTACTCCATGCATGCGTGTAAAGAGTACTCCCTGAGGACCAAAGAGTACTCCAAAATTAACCACAATTCATATAAAAAATATGGTCCAATTAACATTGCGATGTCCTAGGGCAGGACCATATACTCCATCCCTGCATTACATCAGAGTAGCACAAAACTACTCCAACATATTAACAATGGCATTGTTGTTATATTTTTTTGTTTGTACACGCTTTTGTTCTTCACTTCTCAAATGCTTTTTCGAAATTAATAAAAACCAAGACAAAAATTAAAAATTACATGTTGCCTCTGACGGTATTCGAACCCGAACATGCTGGGAGCTAAGAACTAACAGCGAGCATCTCTACACGTTCAGCTACAGCCAGACATGCAAATGTGCTTTCAAATGCTCAACTTCAATCACGTTTCGTTAAAACACGAGCAGTGATCGGATAACAAACAACCCTGCAAAAATCGTTGGACCATGTAGTCTATTTGTGGTAAATTGGAGTACTTACAAAAGTGTTCCTCTGTCATGCTGTAGCGGACCAACTCGTGTCTCTGCGCCAGCTTATTGTGTTACGCAGCCACGACAGTACTATTGTGGAGTTCGACCAGCAAAATATCCTTCCTTTAAAATGCGTGGAATTTATAACCTTGGAGACCAATTCAGCTAGCAGAATTTTAAGCGGAGCAACGCGTGATTTGGAACAAAGAAGATTGGTCTGAATGTATCCTTCTCTTTCACCTCGTGTGTATATGCAGGCCCCATAAGCAGCAACATTTGCATCACAAAAGGCATGCATCTGTAGGTCAGCTTCGGGCATTAGCAGGTATCGGTCGAAAGTAAAATGTGCAACTAACTTATATTGACTGCACATTTCCAGCCATTCCAATTGTATTGCCTGCGATGGGCTTTCATCCCAATGTAGCTTCTCCTTCCACAACTGCTGCAAGAATATTTTGGCCTTGGCCACCACAGGCCCGATCAAACCAAGCGAGTCGTACAGTCTAGCAATGGCTGAAAGAATAGTACGCTTAGTTACCTTGGCCGGAGTTGCAAAAGGCGAAAATTAAAATATAAAAACGTCCAAACTGGGGTCCTAAACCAATCCAAGTGCTTTTGTTATGTGTGTATCATCATCGAACTTTAGGAATTCCTGTTTGTCATTAGCTGCTATATCAGTCAAAACGCGATTATCGTTTGAGCACCATTTTCTCAAATGAAAGTTTCCAAGAGACAGCAACTTCCTCGTCTGATTTAGCATAACCTTGGCTTCGTCCACCGAGTCGGCGCCGGAAATCATATCATCAACATAAAATGCATGTTTTATTGTTTTAGCACCAACCGGATAGTGGTGCGCTTCGTCCTGAGCAAGTTGCTGCATCGATCGAATCGATAAACAAGAAGCTGGCTTTGTTCCGTAGGTGACGGTATCTAATTTAAAAATACGGAACTCTTCATTAGGGCTGTCTCTCCATATTATGCATTGAAGAAAGTTATCTGGATAAGACATTCTTACACAGCGATACATTTTACAAATGTCTGCTGTAAGAGCAATTTTAATGTACGAAATCTGAGCAAAATATCAAAAAGTTGTTGTTGAATGGTTGGTCCTTTCATCAGGATCGAGTTCAGCGAACGTCCAGTGCTAGTGGGCGCCGAGCCATCAAACACCACACGCAGTTTTGTTGTTGTGCTATCGGCCTTTAAAACGCCACGATGCGGCAAAAAATTTATGGGAACTTTGCTTGGTATAGCGTCAACGACTGACATGTGATTCAAATCAAGGTACTCCTTGATAAACGATCAATATTGTTTTTTAAGTTCAGCATTTCGCTGCAATCTTCGCTCTAAAGCTCTGAACCGATTAACAGCCTGCTGATAAGACTCTCCCAGTTCGAACGAAGGTAATTTTGTTGGTAATCGAACAGAAAACTCACCGGATTTTAAACGTCTGTAGTTTTTTACAAAATGAGCTTCACACAAATCTTCTTCAGCCGTAGTTTTTGGCAAAGATTCTTTACAGGTTTCTACTTCCCAAAAGCGTTCAACTAATTTGTTTAATTCGACATCAGAGTCATTTGGTAGAGCCATGTCGATGGCTGCTAGGCACGATAATTTTGCAGCGTTGTACGCAGTTGCGCCCGATACTATCCAACCCAATTTGATTTTTTGCAAAATTGGCATACTTTCGGCCAAGCGTATTTGACCAACGCAAAGTAGGTCGAAAAAGAAGCTAGCTCCAATGAGCATGTCAATGCGTTGAGGTTCAAAGAATGAAGGATCCGCTAAGCGTATATTCGAAGGTATGTTCCAATCAACGCATTTTAACGAACGACTTGGTTGAATATCGGTAATGGTGGATGTTACGACTGCTGTCAAGTTGGCCGTATAATCAGTAATACGAGAATGGAGCCTTAAATCAACGATATGATTGGTGGCGAAATCATTTTGGCCTATGCCAGAAATGAACTGTGACGAGTTAATTTTCTTTAACTGAAGCTGACTAACAAGTCGATTGGTTACGAAGTTGAGTTGTGACGCAGAATCTAGCAAAGCTCTGCAGGGAATGAGAGAGCCAGATCCATTTTTTAAATAAATGATGGCAGTTGCTAAGAGAACGAAATCTCGGTAAGCAAAGCTAGCTTGAGCTTCAGAGCTGACAAGTGCAGAAGCTGATGGGCCGAAGGTTGAAGACGAATGTGGCAAATACGGGTGTATAGAAGTGGGGAGTGTTGTTGTCGCTTGTGCTTGCGATGGGGATTTAGCACAGGTCAATGTTTCAGAAGAATTCGCAAATGAATTTGTGTCTTGATGAAGCAGACTGTGATGCTTCGACGAGCAATGCCTACACTGGCGGGACTTACAGTCCTTAAAAGAGTGACCACGTCTCAAGCAATTCAAGCAAAGGTGCAACCTTTTTGCTTCTTTGTAACGCATTAAAGGCGACAGGCCTAAAAATCGTTCACAATTTGCAATTCGATGTTCGCTAGAGCTGCATAATGTACACCCAACTGCAGCCGATGTAAACGAAACCTTGCGATTGTTATTGTTATAAGACAGTTTCATTCCTACCTGTTTTTCCGGCGGCGCAAGAGCGTTTTCTACATTTTCCAGTCGCTGACAGCGTTGTTCTAAAAATGTAGCCATCGAATCCCACGTTGGTATTTCGTTTGCAGGTGTTTGCTCCTCCCATTTGGCACGAGACTTGATGTTCAATTTTTGAGAAACTAGCTGAATTAATAAACAGTCGGCGATCTGCTCCTTTGTTCCCACAGTCTGCAACGCGCGCAAGTGAGCATTTAGAGCATCGCTGAGTTCACGAAGTTTGGCTACCTTTTCACCCTCTACCCTCTTCAGCTGAACAATATCTATGATATGAGCCTGGAAATTCAAACGTTTATTATTGAACCGAGCCTTCAATAAACAAATGGCCTTATCATAGTTGGGTTCACTTATTTCTAACGACCGAATTGTATCCAGGGCGGCATCACGTAGACTTAATCGAAGGTGTTGGAATTTCTAGATTCTTGTCAAATCAACGTCTTGATGGACCACGGTGTTGAACATCGAGTCGGGCCATTCTGCATAGTTACCGCTAAACTTTGGTATTTGCAGTACAGGTAACCGTTGCTTCGGTTGAGCGACGATGAACGATGGTTGATCTCCAGAAAACGGCCGCAACGTAGAACTATGAGCCTCTAAAGTTTGGCAAGCGTGCAGTTGGCGTGTCAGCTTAGTTTTCGCCTCAATATAATGGTTGGTGAATGTGGTCAAATGATCATCAGCGTCGTTGTCCTCTAGCTGCATGTGAAGGGCATCGAACCTCTTCTCCAGGCGATCCATTTGCTCGATACGTACCTCTACTGCAGCTTCGTCGAACTCGCGCAGGGCTTCGAAAGTCAGAGAGTTGTTGGTTTGGGTTATTTGTTGAACAAAAGACTCAAGCTTCTTCTTGGCTTCAACTGAGTCAATCTTCTTAGATGGTGCCATTTTTGAATATATAAGCACACGAAAAAATAATTAAGTACGACGTTTGATCAATCAATTTTACGAGTATTGATTAGATCACGTCGGGGTCACCAAATGTTTCGGGGGCAGTAAGCCTTTTTACTGACCCGTATTACTTGCAATAAAAACAAAATGCGACAACAACGATATGCGGGCGTTTATTACAAAATGTACATGCGAATATTAGCAACTATATGCTAGCGCTTGCTACGATGACCAAAATGCGAGTAACAAAATTCTTAGATGTACAAATTAACCAGCCTACAAAATTTCCTCTAGCTCAACAAGTATAATGGCTTACGGTAAAGAGATCGGATGATTTAGTGGTACCTATTCCAATATAATGCAGTTATGCTAATGTATGTATGTACAAGTATGATAAGAGCGCTTATCACAGCCACTCAAATTCACTAAACCGGTTCTTAAACATTGGTGTCATTACGCATTAGCGGGAGCGCAGATTTGAAGCAAGCAAATATTTACTTATGTACGTAAGTATGTATATACATACATATGGACATGCGCAGATGCATATGTATGAGCAATTAGCATAAAGAGCAACTAATTAGTCTGTTCCTTTGAACTTCGGACTAAAACCTGTGGAACTGTCAAACTACAATTTTACGCTCTCAAATGAGAGTAAAAGGAGAACAGATGCAGAAGTGCATAGGAACTAAGCACTATTTCCTGTAAAAACGTCAGACGGTTTGTTTACATGTCATTGGTACTACACTAATTTGGCTGAAATATCACTAAATAATTATTAAAATCTATACATATTCAAATATGTCGTTGTTTACTTCCATTTTTTAACAAATATAAGGTTCTTTGCTTTCACCGCTTTCTGTTTTTGTTTGCACATGTAAATCAGCTGATCGTTTGACACTTTTCATGAACTTACAGGAAAAAAAACTCCGGACTAAATCCTGTAACTTCTGCCTAGGAACAGTTGCTCATTTACTCTCTCAAATGTGTTCCCACTGACAGGTTTTATGTCAATAGGAACGACTTCCTGTAAGTTCTGACTAAATCCTGTAAACCGGACTGCTATTGGAACAGACTAAATAAATGATGATCAACTAATGTTATCAGTGAAGGTACATATAATTACATGCTATCAGTGATGGTACATAATAACGGGTGATTTTTTTGAGGTTAGGATTTTCATGCATTAGTATTTGACAGATCACGTGGGATTTCAGACATGGTGTCAAAGAGAAAGATGCTCAGTATGCTTTGACATTTCATCATGAATAGACTTACTAACGAGCAACGCTTGCAAATCATTGAATTTTATTACCAAAATCAGTGTTCGGTTCGAAATGTGTTTCGCGCTTTTTTATCGACAAATTTTGTTCAGCGATGAGGCTCATTTCTGGTTGAATGGCTTCGTAAATAAGCAAAATTGCCGCATTTGGAGTGAAGAGCAACCAGAAGCCGTTCAAGAACTGCCCATGCATCCCGAAAAATGCACTGCTTGGTGTGGTTTGTACGCTGGTGGAATCATTGGACCGTATTTTTTCAAAGATGCTGTTGGACGCAACGTTACGGTGAATGGCGATCGCTATCGTTCGATGCTAACAAACTTTTTGTTGCCAAAAATGGAAGAACTGAACTTGGTTGACATGTGGTTTCAACAAGATGGCGCTACATGCCACACAGCTCGCGATTCTATGGCCATTTTGAGGGAAAACTTCGGAGAACAATTCATCTCAAGAAATGGACCGGTAAGTTGGCCACCAAGATCATGCGATTTGACGCCTTTAGACTATTTTTTGTGGGGCTACGTCAAGTCTAAAGTCTACAGAAATAAGCCAGCAACTATTCCAGCTTTGGAAGACAACATTTCCGAAGAAATTCGGGCTATTCCGGCCGAAATGCTCGAAAAAGTTGCCCAAAATTGGACTTTCCGAATGGACCACCTAAGACGCAGCCGCGGTCAACATTTAAATGAAATTATCTTCAAAAAGTAAATGTCATGGACCAATCTAACGTTTCAAATAAAGAACCGATGAGATTTTGCAAATTTTATGCGTTTTTTTTTTAAAAAAAAGTTATCAAGCTCTTAAAAAATCACCCGTTAGAAAGGTAATAACAATTTAGATAATTATACTACATAGATATGCATGTGCGAGACAATGTATCTAATATTAAACAGCCATCTTCAGTGTAATTTTTCGTTTTCGAAACCGATTTGTCTCCAAACCAAATTTGACAAGGGATGACGGAAAATCGTACCACATTACATCACACTCCTACCCTGTCGGAAACACCAACAATGAAAATTTGAAACATTTTTTTAAGCCTGACTCATATTTGTGACGCTGGTCTATAGAGATATTTTTTGGCATAGACAAGGGTCACATTTATGTGACAGGCTAAACATCAGGGTTTTAGCTAACTCAGTTTTATTCAAAAATACAATGCTTACATTAAATTAATTCTAATTGAAAATACAGTAGCATTTTGACTTATTTTGGGCCTGATATTCTCCGAAACATTGCTCAATACATAAGCCAATTACTTAACCGCACTGGGAAAATAGGTAAGCACCTTACGAGGTAAGCCATGTTTTCTTTCAGTTTTTAGTACCAAAATTGTCATCATGGCCAATGTCATCTACTAGTAAAGCACAAAATGAATACCTCCAACGACACATTACGTTGTCAGTTGCAAAGTAACGTGCAGCCGAAGTTATCTCCAAGCGCCGAACTACTCCGAGCGACTTCTCTGCATTACACGTAACTTACTTTGTAAAGCGGCTCAGAAGTATGTCTGATACCAAATGTACATTCTAAATTCCTAATTACATAAGGCGGCCATGCCTTTGTAAAAGTAAGGGACGTTCGGCAGGGAAATGGCAATGACTGCCAGGTGAAGAGTAAGTTGCTAATAAGGTATTATTACGTGCTCCTAATTCCCACTGGGACCTTTATGTTCAAATTTATGATGTTCAAACAAGTCTCAATATGTGTACTTACCGTCCTCTGTATATGTACATATTTCACTATGAAGCTAATATTTTCTCTCTTAAAGTCGGCAAAGACTTTCACACGTGCACTGTAAATAAACATAACCTCATACTTTACAGGTAGCTCTAATCCCGAGACCACTTGTCACAAACGTGTGCCAGACCTTCCTATAGGCTATACTGTATCTAACAACCCGCTATCGCAGACCGCGGTGAATGTAGGTATAATTTAATTAAGTTAAACCGGCGTCACACATTTGTGTCGGCGGTCCCACGTGAAAACCCAGCTGACACATATATGTGACGCCTGGTAGCGAACGTGTTAAGGTAACTAGCAAATTTGCATTTTAACTCTTCAATAAGTTCATAATAAACTTTATGCAATATAAGTTCCTTTGTAGGGCTTGGTACAACTCAATTGTTACAATAACAAGTAATTTTTAAGCAAAAAACACAACCGACTTCAATTCTCATATAAAACTTTAGAAGTACCGTTAATTTCTTCATGATCCAATGATCGGATCAAAACCAAATTAGTATGGGAACTCCCCTGAGGCACTAGAAAAAGAATTATCGAAATTGGTTAATGTGGTCCAAAGTTATGCGGTAACATACACAAAAAGAAAATATTCCGATGAACTGATAAGCTCCTCGTTTTTTTGAAGTCGGTGAAAAAGAGAAAAATTAATGAGGTAAGTTATTATACATTTTTAATAGCTAATTTTAACATGTCTAATCAAATTTACATTAAAACAAGTAAGAAAGTCTAAGTTCGGGTGAAGCCGAACATTAAATACCCGGCGCAAGTATTAAATATATGTTTTTTCACCTTTCCGAAACCTTCCGCTAGATGGTAAGCCGGGGTGTATCAATTTTGAGTAAATTAGCGTCCTTCAATTTCGAAATATTGAAGTTTCAAGCATTTCTGAAATTTACCGTTATATGAGAAGCGGCCGTTATTTTAGTCCGATTTCAATAATTTTCAACGTTTTGCTTATATGTGGCAAGCACAATAACCACACCGAGTTTGGTACAAATTGGTAGAACGGTTACCGATATACTTATATGAGATCATAAGTGGGCGGTGCCACGCCCATTTTCCAAAGTTTTACCATAATCGTATTTCTTGGTAAAGAATTGTTGCAAGCATCAATTTTGAATAAATTAGCTTCAATATTTACTGATTTATCGAAGATTTTGTATTTCTCTAAATTACCGTTATATGGGAAGTAGGCGTGGTTATTGAGCGACTTTAAAAATTTTCGGCCATTTGGTATGTTGTGCGAAGGCCAACAACTGTGCCAAGTTTGGAAGAAATTGCTGCAGCGGTTACCAAGATATACACATGTAACCATAAGAGGGCGTGGCTACGCCCATTTTCCAAAAATTTATAATATTCTTATTTTTCGTCTAAAACTTATTATAAATATCAATTTTGAGTGAATAATCTCCAGTAGTTACTAAAATATCGCAGTTTTCGTATTTCTGAAAATTACCGTTATATGGGAAGTAGGCGTGGTTATTGAGCGATTTTAAAAATTTTCCGTCATTTGGTATGTTGTGCGAAGGCCAACAACTGTGCCAAGTTTGGAAGAAATTGGTGCAGCGGTTACCAAGATATACACATGTAACCATAAGTGGGCGTGGCTACGCCCATTTTCCAAAAATTTATAATATTCTTATTTTTCGTCTAAAAATTATTGTAAATATCAATTTTGAGTGAATTATCTTCAGTAGTTACTAAAATATCGCAGTTTTCGGATTTCTGGAAATTACCGTTATATGGGAAGTGGGCATGGTTATGGTCCGATTTCGCCCATTTTCAATACCAACCTACCTTGGATTAAGGCAAACCTACATACCAAATTTCGTTGAGATATCTCAATTTTTGCTCGAGTTATCGTGTACACGGACGGACGGACAGACGGACAGACGGACAGACGGACGGACAGACAGACATGGCTTAATCAATTTCTTTGTTCATCCTGATCATTTATGTATACATTTGTCTATATCTATCTCGATTTGTTTTGGCTGTTACAAACAACCGTTATGTGAACAAAATTAATATACCCTTGTGCACAAGTGCGCTCGGGTATAAAAATCTCAGCCACCAAACACCACCCCTCCCCCCCTAAATTATACTCTGCGTACGCCCATGCTCGAATACTCCAAGACCCGCCTCATCAGATGTTGTCATTTATCATGCTTCTGCGCCATATACCAACACGGACATGATGGATGACTTATAGGGTGTGGTTTTCGTATGTCGAGCGAGGACTTTACTTCAGAATTGCCTACTTCAATGCTGCTATTCAATGCTGACATTATTAATAATAATAATAGATTGGTGGCCGCTGTGGTGTAGTGGTAAGCAGTGCGCGCTTCCACTCCGCAGCGCCTGGGTTCAAGCCCTAGCCAAAGCGAGTGTATTTCTGCCATGAAAAACAGCTTCTCATAAAAATATAATCGCCGTTCGGAGTCGGCGTAAAACTGTAGGTCCCTCCTCTTTGTGTGACAACGTCAACGCGCACGCCCCAAATCGGAGGAGAAGCTCAGCCAAACACTAACATATGTGTAAGCGCCAATATATTATTATTATTATTATTATTATTATTATTATTATTATTATTATCATGGCAGAAATACGCTCGGAGGTTTGCCATTGCCTGCCGAGGGGCGACCGCTATTAGAAAAATCCTGTTTTGTTGTTTTTTATTTTTTTATGTTGGGTCGAACCGGGCATGAACCCAGGATCGCGCACTGCTAACCACTACACCACAGCGGCCGCGGGCATTATTATGGTCGTTAATTCTGGTTCCCAGGTAAACGAGATTCTCCACTTTCTCGACTGTTTGTTTGATGACAGGAGATACTTCATCTTTTCCTCGTTTACCACCAGACCCATTCGTTGATTCCTTATCCAACTTGGAAAACGCGAAACAGACTTCACGGTTATTGTTACCAATGATGACGATGTCATCGGCGTACGCCAGCAATTTCACGCTTTTATAAAATATTGTTCCTGAGCGGTTCAGTTCTGCAGCTCTTATTATCTTCCCCAACAGCGGATTAAAGAAGTCACATGAAAGGGAGTCGCCATGTCTGAAACCCCATTTGGTGGCGAACGGTGTCGATCTTTTTCTCGCTGGTCTTTTCCAAGATTTGGCTTATTGCCCTGTAGGGAAACGAACTAGTGCGGAACTGGTTCGGTTCTAGTGCGTTTGGGACCATGACTAGTACACGTTAATTCTCTTTTGCATGCTAGCGACTGGCGAATTTAACATTTCGATGTCCTAGGAAGTGTCAATTGTCCCCCGTTGCATCCCTTTGGCTCTAGTTCCGAACCAGTTCTAAATTCGACATATAAGATCTAGTTCATTTTGCATCACCCTTTTCTTTAGTTCTAAACCAGTTCCTAATTCGACAGATGAGATCTAGTTCGATCTGCATCCATTTTTTATAGTTCCCAACCTGTTATAAATTCGTCACCTTAGATCTACATTTCTAATCAGACTTGTTGAAACATTTCCCTTTTATATTAAATTCGATCGGTTAAAGGAAGGCAATACCATCACAAATGTTTAAACGCATTTATTAAAAATTGATAAACCACATTAGTAGTAGTAGTAGTATTAAACTTAAGTAGTAAGTAAAAAACAAAAGTGCGTTCTGCTTAAAAGTAAAAATATTAGTTCACTTTGTCTTACTTGTCTAAATTTAAGCATATTGGTTTTTAAGTAAATTCAGTTGTTTTTAAGCTTATATGTATATGAAGTACTTTGAAAGTTTTTGTCGTACTTAATGTAAATAAGATATATAGTCAGTCAATAAGGTTTAGGTACAGCGAAGTTTTTACAATACCGGCAACTATTTTTTAAATGTTTTATTTTTCCCTAATTTTTTATAAAAATATGGTTAATTCTACACCAAAAACCCCAAAAATCAGAGTTCCAAACCTTATGCAAAATTAAAGAAAACTCTGTGAATTTCCAACCAAATATTGCAATTTACACTCTTTAGAAAAAAGTTAAGTACGCAGTTTTTAGCCCACTCAATTTTAGTATAACAAAGTGCAAGTTTGAGGTAGATAGGACTTACCATTAATACTTAGCAATTTTTTTTTGTTGTTTGGTAAGTCCTAGCTTCCTCATACTTGCACTTCATTACAGTAAAATTGAATGGGCTAAAGAACTGCAAACTGAACTTTTTTCTAGAAAGCGTAAATAGAAAGTGAATTATTTTAATGAAATTTTGCAGAATTTTCTTAAATTTTGCACAAGGTTTGGAACTCTGATTTTTAGGGATTTTGTTGTAGAATTGACCATATTTTTATAAAAAATTACCGAAAACTAAAATATTTAAAAAATAGTTACCCGTATTGTAAAAAATTCGTTGTACCTAAACTTTATTGACTGACTATATTAAGGTAGTTGTGCTGGATTGCATAAAAAAAATTAATTTGCCTTTTCGTAAAAAAAGGTAGCTCTTGTGGCTTGCATTTTTAAATAAATTTAGTGAGAAAGTGGTAATTATTTTGAAATGTTTTTAAATGACTCTTTTTCCGCAACTGCATTGCCTTTCTCAATTGTCCTTCAGGATCTTGGCCTTTGTTTATGGAATGCTTAATGATTATTAAGCAAGTCAAAAACTATACCAGCGTGATTACCGACGTATCCTTTTGAGAGTAGCCGCACCCTTATAAAAGGAATAACACCCAAACTTTTCAGGTCAAAATTTCAGTAGGTTGCGTCTGTATGGCCTTTTAAATTTTATAAATTATCATTATTTTTAAGTGGAAAAATAAAGCTCTAAATTAATGATAATCTCTGCGCGAAAAAATAAAAATCATAAAATAATCATTATTTGTAATCCCAAAAATAAAAATCAAATAATAACACAGGTTTACAAAAAAAAAGAGCTTACGCATATTAAACCAAACCTATAAATCCCTATGTTATTCGACACGCTGAATGCGAATCCGAAGTCCGTTGGTCTCCACCACGTCAGGTCAGGTCATTTGAATGTCAAATAGGACATAAAATTTATTCAATAAAAATTAAAAAAAAACAAGTAAGAAAGTCTAAGTTCGGGCTTTGCCGAACATTAAATACCCGGCGCAAGTATTAAATATATGTTTTTCACCTTTATGAAAGCTACCGCTACATGTATCAATTTTGAGTAAATTAGCGTACTTACATATATGTCGAAATATTGA